GCATTACGAACCATACAGGGTGATGAACGAGATTGCGAGCTGATCGGATTCTTTCATCGCAATCTGGTGATAGCATGAGTAGGCATCCAGAAAGGAGAGGATCTCGCAACCCGAGGTGGAGTCGACTATCTGGTCTATGCACGGTAAAGGAAAGTGATCCTTCGGACACGCTTTATTGAGGCTAGTATAATCAACGCACATTCTCCATCTCCCGGTATTCTTTTTAACAAGAACAGGATTGGCAAGCCAGTCGGAGTGGTATACCTCTCTGATAAATCCAGCTACCAGGAGTTTGGCGATCTCTTCGCCTATAGCCCTGCGCCTCTCGTCGTCAAAGCGACGTAGGCGCTACTTGGCGGGCTTCGAACCCGGGATGAGGCGCAGTGCATGCTCGGCGATGTCCCGCAGTATGCCTGGCATGTAAGATGGCTTCCATGTGAAGACATCGCGATTGGCGCGCAGGAAGTCGACGAGCTCGCATTCCTATTTGGCCGAGAGCTAGGTCTCGATCCTCACCATCTTGCTTGGGTCAGTGGGGTCGATCCCCACCGCCTTGGTTTCCTCGAGTGGGCGGAAGGCCGTCGAGGAGGTTGGTTTGTTGCAGTCCGGGACTGTCGGGGTCGACGACTCCTCGAGCCACGGGAACTCGGATGAGTTGATGACGGCCGTGGCGAGCTCGAAATGCTCACGGTCGCACGTGAAGGCGTGCGAGAAGGCACTACCCACAGTGATGACGCCATTTGGTCCCGGCATCTTCAGCTTGAGGTAGGTGTAGTTGGGAATAGCCATGAACTTGGCGTAGCATGGCCGCCCTCGGATGGCGTGGTAGGACCCTAGGAAGTCCACCACTTCAAAGGTGAGAACCTACGAGCAGAAGTTGGCTCGGTTGACAAAAGTGACGGGCAGGTCGATCTGCCCGAGTGGGTACGCATGCGCTCCCGGGATCACGCCGTGGAAGGGAGAGCCCGCTGGGCGGAGTTCCGACCGAGGATGCGCATGGCGTCGAGGGTGTCGATGTAGAGGATGTTGGGGCCGCTGCCTCCGTCCATCAACACCTTGGTGAGGCGCTTCTTGCGAACGATGGGGTCAACGACAAGCGGGTAGCGTCCCGGTCTGGCAACATGGGAGGGATGGTCCCTCTGATCGAAGGTGATCGGAGATTCCGACTAGCTAAGAAAGGAGGGGACGGCCGTCTCGGCGGCGCATGCCTCTCTGTAGCGTACCTTGTGCTGGCGCTTGGAGTAGATGGCGTTGGATCCCCCAAAGATCATGATGCATTCCTCGGGGTCGGGGAAGCTGTCCCCGTCCTTGCCCGCCGCGCCTCCCTTTTTGGCTACCGCCTATTTGTCGTTTCCTTCTTTCGGCCCGCCGGCCTGTCGCAGGAAACGTTTGAGGAGCTCGTAGTCTTTGTAGAGATGTTTGATGGGGTAGGCGTGGTTGGTGCACGGGCTATCCATGAGCTTGTTGAAGTGGTCAGGCAGGCCCTGCTAGGGCTGCTTGCCCGTGCGATCAGCTGCGGCGACCAGAGCGGTGTTGGTCGTTCGGCGCCGCTCCTTTTTGTTCTTCTTGCCCCTTTGCGTGGAGGGGCACTCGTCTTGGTCCTCGCACTTGGCCTTGCCTTTGTCCTGGCCTCCGTTGAAGACCGCTCTGACTACCTCCTCGCCGGAGGCGTGGTTCGTGGCGACGTCAAGTAGGTCGCGGGTGGTACGGGGCTTCAGGCAGCCAAGCTTGTGGATCAGGGACTCGCAGGTTGTCCTAGAGAGGAATGCGCTGATGACGTCCGCGTCGACGACATCAGGGAGGGAGTTGCATTGTTGGGCCAACCTGCGGATGTAATCCTGCAGGGATTCGTTGGGCTCCCGCTGGCAGCTCTTGAGGTCCCAGGAGTTCCCAGGGCTGAGATACGTCCCCTGGAAATTTCTGACAAAGACCCTCTTGAGGTCCCAGGAGTTCCCAGGGCTGAGATACGTCCCCTGGAAATTTCTGACAAAGACCCTCTTGAGGTCCCCCCAGTCGCGGATGCTGTCGTGCGGGAGGAATTCAAGCCATGCTCGAACATGTTTCCCTACACAGATGGGGAGATATTGGATGATGAAATGGTCATCATCCACCCCTCCGGCTCGGCAGGCGAGCCGGAAATCTTCGAGTCATATTTCGGGGTTTGTCTCCCCGGTGTATTTGGCGATAATGGTGGGCGGTCGGAAGCGCTGTGGGAACGACGCTCTCTGGATGCGTCGGCCAAAGGCCCGTGGTCCCAGGCCATCCGGGCTGGGACTCCGGTCGTCTGGCCGGCGACCGTGCCTGGGGCGCGTTTCACCGCTCCCCTCGATGGTCCGGCCGGGGCCAGTGTCGCCTGCGCCCACCGCCGCCCGACATACGTCATCATCATGCTGGGCACGATGCTAGTTGCTGATGACGCTGCGAGCGTCTTGGTTTGGACCGAGAAGTTCTCGTACCGGCGGTCGGTGTGGAGCATGCGCCGGGTCGGACCGCGGCGCAACTGTGGCCTCCCGTGCCACGCTCGGTGGCTGTAGCGACGAGCGGATGGAGCGATCTGTCTGGTGTGTCTCCACTCCCCTGGTGGGGAGAGAGGTCGCGTGTCATAGTCGCGATGCGGAGCTCTCCGCCTGTTGAACGGCGGCGGCTTCCACCAGCGCCTGGATGTTCCGGTGGACCGCCCGCTCCTGGGGGTCGACGGGCTCGGGGACGCCGCGCAGAAGCATTGTAGCGTTGTGCTCTAGAACTGCAGATGCAAAATGTGTTTTTCTGAGATGGGAAGCTTACTGCATGTATTTTTTTTTTCTGAATACAAATTGCCCCTTTTTTGAACGTGTACCTGCAGTACCTAAAAGCATATGTCTGGGCCTGATTTGCTTTGTCCACAGTAACCGTGGTCAGTATCTGGGCCTGGGCCGCGCAAACCAACAAGCTTGCATGAAAACGGCGGAAAAACTTTTCTTCCGTGCGCCAACACAATCCAGCAATTAGCATTGTTGCTGAAAAAGGGATATAACAGTTCTAATTTACTAAAAACGGTAAGGTCGTGCGGATAGTCCAAATTACGGCCGGCCGTATTTTAGCTGCTTCCCTTTTTTTAACAATAATAGCAAGATTGGAAAAAAAGATATCCGGGCTCTTATATATGCACAATCCTACGCAACTGGTATAGCCGTATAGGCCTTGTGGCTGAGTAAAGTTCCGACAGTATAGTTCACACTTCACACTAAGAGACAAACGAAACCTAAAAACCTTGGATTCACTAGCTACTCGAAGAGAGAGCTAGATCCGTCTGGAACGCTACCAAAAGAGGGGCACAGATTTTGCTCAACCTAAATTTGGACAGGTTATAGCGTTTATGTGGAGCCTTGAATTCCTATCAAAAGTTCAAAACATTCTGCGAGTGCGTAATCAAGCAAACTTTATTTGACCGAAGTCAGCAGGGCGACCCCAACCTAATTTTTTATTCCAGACCTGTTTAAATTCGCTCTCACAGGAGTCGAACCCAGGCCTGCTGGATGCTACCCAGGTGCTCTAACCACAAGTGCGTAATCAAGCAAACTTAGCCATCAAGGCCAACTGAGCGTGGGTATTTTGTTATAGTGGAGACCTACTTATTCAGCAAAGCCTCCTATCTAGTTTGATGCTCAAATTTAAATAATTTCTCTAGTGATAGTAAATGTGGTTATCCATAGTGAAATCGTCTGTGACAACTTTGTTAACCTTAAGATATCCCTAATATACTTATAGAGATTGTGTGAGATCTGTACTATACTTGGTGAGGAAAAAAATCAAGATCCGCCACAAAAAAAAAACAGTAAGGGACAATGGTAGTCGGGCCTCTTTTGTGTTTTATTGATACCACCGATATTTATCATATTTCTTTGTCATTTGTCATGCTAAAAGTATGTTTAGCTGGATAAATTATTTTCCACATTTGGGTCGTTCTAAGAGAATCTTGTATGGCTTTCCAAACCACCACACATGCGATGCGTCCACCTTGGCAAAGAAAAAGGAAAAAATATTCATGGCACAATTGTGGCTACAACTGAACACTATTCATCCTGTGACTTGTCGCCACTCAAGACTGAACAACGAGCGCTCTGACTCGGTCTTGTGACTTGTTGCCAAAAGCACCCACAATGGACTTCGGGCTGCCGCGTGGTGCCTGTAAGCAAAACAAGCGGTACCTCTCTGTGTGTGGGCAGCATGCCCAGCATGTATCAGCGGACCTCACACCAGTCATCCAAAAGGACCAAAACAAGATAAAGTGCCGCGGCCCAGTCATACTTGTTCCTTCTCTGTCTTTTTTTCCCTTCCCCTTCGGGGTCATGCTCTCAAACCGCCTCTTGAACGGGTTACATCCGAACAAAAATACAAAATATAAGTTTGAATAGGTTCATCCGAACAAAATATAACATCTCAGTTTTAGAAGTGAAGGAAAACATAACATCCACTACAACAGCACCCATTCACGCCTCGAAAGACAAGGCTGTCGATTGGAGATTAAGGACCTGTTTGGATCCCTTTCTCTAAACTTTACAGGTCTAAAAGCTTTAGAGCATTTTAGCTCACTTTTGAGCTCTAAAGCTCTAATGTAAGGTGAGCTCAAGTTTAGAGTTAACTTTAGACCACTTGTTTGGAGTATTAGCTCTAAAGTTTAGAGGAGGAAATCCAAACAGGTCCTAATCCATTTTCCTGCTTTGAAGTCGAGACATATAATGACCTTCACGAAATCAGCTTTGCAGTCAGCAATTCGTCCATTACTGGACTTGCTGGAGGACAAGTACAATTACATCTTCACAAAATCAGCTTTGCAGTCTGCAATTCCTGACTAATTCTCTGTTTTGCACGCCAAAATTGAATTACGGAGTTACTTTGGATTACTAAACTGTTGATCCCTCCTGCGCCACCAATTTACTATGATAGAATCGACAATGATCTGCAGAGTGTTTTGGACATTAGAAATGACCCCACCGGAGAATGCAAGTGACACATAGCAATTATGTCTTTGCAATGAGAACCTGGTTAATGTGTGCAAAAACACAAGGGATGACTAGAAGTCCGGGCTCCCCAAGGGCTCCTCCAAGCTGCTCAACCACAGTTATCATCACTGGCAATGTTTTCTACAGGAATAAGAAGAAAGTCAGACAAAATATTTTGATGTCATGAGAGCAGAATAACAAATCATCTTGTTTTCCATGCACACAAACGGTTTTGCATCTCGTACTTTTCTTATCTTAATACAATGGCACACAGCTATCCTGCATGTTTGAGGAAAAAAAGCAGAATAGCAATTTCACTTTTAGCTACTCGTGTTTTTGAACAACTTCAATAAAAAATTTGATTCAGGGCCTGTTTGGATACTCTCGTATTCATCTCAATCCACATGTATTGAAGTGGATTGAGGTGTAAGTCTAAGTTCCACCCCAATCTACTTCAACGCATGTGGATTGAGGTAGATACGAGGGTATCCAAACAAGCCCTCAAATGGATCCATTCCAAGCAGGTTTTCCAAGTTGCTTCAAATCTAGTAACAGGCATGTGCCAGTAGACATTCTTGCGGTAACTGGCCCAGTAATGGATAGAAGAACGTAGCAAACTTTACGGGAAGCATGCCAACTGCCCAATTAGATCCGTTTCTGTCAACACTAACCCGGTCAAATGGGCAGTAATTTTCCTGTCTGCCTTTTCTAGTAAAGGCATTTTTCCCATTTGTTTCTCGTCTCAATAAAAATATGAAGTTGTGTTTATTTACCATAAATTCTGAAATTTACCCTTAATCAATTATTAAACGGTACTGTAATAACATAGACAATCCCAGAAGAGAAAAGCATACCCTCATCCTCCCATAGTTGGCATGCTAACGTTCAGCTAGCAAAACTGAATAACTGATTACAATCACTTGTCAATGGCTTGGCCGCTTGACTATGCTATGCCTTGCCCGTTAAGTTGGTAATTCAAATTTAGGATAAGTTAGGAGATAAAAGATCATTTTAAATAGCTTGGATTCTGCATAAGTTCAATTTGTTGGAAGGCCCCTCTAGACCATCCACTTCATACAACTACACACTAAACTGCAAATCCAGGGCATGATGGTACACAGTTGCTAACACCTTGGTCCCGAGCTTGAGGCAATATCAGACAGGCAACCACATGGTCGCCTGCAGGAGTTTGGTTAGTGTCATTTACAAGCTTTCTGTTTATTTTAGTGATGATGACTGACCTGACTGGACACCAAAATGACAGCTCGTGTGTACTCTTTCTTTGCAAAGACTGAATCCCCTTTCTTTCCAAGACGTGACAAGATATGCAACATTGCAATGTTGAAAGCCAACAGCGCAAGATGTATAAGCCTGTGACAACAAATGTGCTCCTGTTAGATATTAAGGTGTAGATAAAGTCAAAGCCAAGCTGCAGTTTATATTGGAGGTAAAATGAAAAGGAAAAGACTATGCAGCACTATCGACAAGGAAGAAAGATTTTTTTTTTAAAAAGAACTGTTAAGAACCATTGAAGCAGGGTAATCCTTGTTAATTTGTTTCTTTTTTATTGGGACAGAGAGTATTGACTCGACTTAATTGTTGATTACTTAGTAAGGCTGTGAATCCGAGTAGCGAGTGCCAAGTGTCACAATCCAGTGTAAAATCCAACACAGCACAGCAATGACAGAATAATGTTATATGTACCACTACTATGATATAATACTGAATAACAGTAGGTGGGCTGTCTTAATGCAATGCCCAGGGTTGTCTTACCCCCACAGGTCAAGGCTTTTTTTTAAGGAAAAAATGGATTTTCATCCTCCCTTGAGAATTTGTTCAATATCCACATAACAAGATCTACAAACATTCTCATTATGATAAGCTCAGAAGGCAAACATACACTCCAACAGTAATAGCAGCAGCAAAAGCTTCCACTTGAACAGATAAGATCAATGATCTTGATCTACTTATTTGAATCCATGGGACCTGTCAAATGAAATGTTTCAGAACTGAAGTCCAAACATCAGAGACATGCAAATTTGTAATATATTGAACACAAACTGCAAAGCAACATAATCTAAAGAGCAACTCCAAAAATCTTTCTCCCAAACCAAAATATTCTCAGTTTTGCTCTATTTGAACTTGAAGGTTGACTTCTGTAGTGTTCTTGTTATACGGTTGGATCAACGCAGAGCCCACTCAGCACTTGCTAATGCTCAACTTCAATAAGGATACGTCTATGAATGCATAGCTACTAAGTTGCACTCTTGTCCTTGCTTCTCCAAAAGGAGCTGGCTAATTGCCTTGGAAACACTACATATGAACCCAAAAACATGACATGTTGAAGGACGAATCAAGGGAGCCAGATATTACTGATATATCAAAAACGAAAACAATTCTTCACTCTATGAATTAGCCTGACTACAGGTCTACAACCAACATTTTCTACAGAAGCAGCATAATAAATAGAGCACCTGAAACAACCAATAAACCAAGCATATATAAATTTTTATTTTTATTTTTTTGTAAGCTCAAGTTAGCATCGCTGGACGCAGTTCTATTACCTGATTGTGTAGAATATAACAGTCCAATAAAATAAACAAATGTACTTGCCAAATGATGACTAGTCATGCAAGTAAAGAACATGTCAACTGACTTATGTTTCGGATTAGAGATATACTAGGCTGAGAAGAACTGCATTTCCAACTGAAAATCCTTGTTGGTTTCTATCAACAAAATCAGCAATACCTACATAAGAGATACACGAAAGGCAATTAATATTCATAACCTGGAGGGGAGAGACTGTCAATAAATGGAAGGTATTAAATTCTGCACACCTTTTGAGGCTTCTCGAGCAACCTGACAAAGAATGAATCATCATGAGTATCTCCGGGAAGCTTCAGTTATTTCAGGCTTGCACTATAGTATTAAGGCCTTGTTTAAATCCAGGGTGTAAAGTTTTGGAGTGTCACATTGGGTGTCACATGAGGGTGTTGCATGGGGTGTTCGGATACTAATAAAAAAACAAATTACAGAATCCATCAAGAATCCATGAGGCGAATTTATTAAGCCTAATCAATCCGTCATTAGCATGTGTTACTGTAGCACCACGTTGTCAAATCATGGACTAATTAGGCTTAAAAGATTCGTCTCGCAAATTAGTCGCAAACTGTACAATTAATTAATTTTTTAGTCTATATTTAATACTCCATGCATGTGTCCAAACATTCGATGGGATAGGAGGATTAAATTTTAGGGACGAACTAAACAAGGCCTAAGACAGACATAGGGAGGGATGGTAAATTCAATGTGTAATCCAAAGTTAAAAACAGAAAAGCATTATCAAGCACTTAAAATAGATTAGTTCAAACTAAAACTATTCTGGTTATTCTTTGCATATCCTAGTCAGAAGATTCAGTTCACATTCTACTAAAGGAAAATGCAGACTTCGCCAAAACTGTACTCCTAAACTGCCACCACACAAATCATGTTTACCAGACTATATTAATCATGAAAGGCAGTTACAAGAAACTTAGAATGAGCCCTCTTGTTTTTCACTGCCAAATATTAAACTGAAAGGATGTCTGCGCATAATGGGTGCAATCCTATTGTATCGAGATGAAACAAGGAGATGCAGTGTGGAGTACAAAGATATGAATAATCACATACCTTCCCTATAATAAGAGGGATTAGAAGTCTGGTGACCAGACTTCTAAATAACTTCTCAGTAGGCAAAGACACCCCAGCTCCAGTGCCAATATATCTTGCAAGAGAAAGAGGTACCTAATCCATGATCACAAAGAAGAATGACCTGATTGCACAGAATAGAAATGGTTTTTTGCCTTTCGAAAAGTTAGTTTACATAGAAAACTAGGCAGGCTTATAATCTACACATCCTCCATTTGAAATTACAAGGTGTGTTTTGTTTCGTTAGGACAAGCTTTTGACCAGTAATTACTTTATTAATAGTTTAATACATAACTTTCTGGCACCAAATTGATGTTACCAGATTCCAATTAAAAAATACTTATGATTATGATTTTGTATTACATAAATGACATATTAATGGAGTAATTATAGGCCAAAGCCTTGTCCTAATGAAACGAGATGCCCCTAAACAGTGGGTGGTCTTGGGTTCAGGCCGCAGTTAACTTATATTACTACTATTTGACTCACGCAGAGATTAGGAGGCCTAATGTGAATAACCAGTCTAAACTCAGATGAATACAACGAAACATCTGGAACAGAACATGTCCATGCCAAGCTTAACAGAAGAGACTCATTACAGTGCATTTTTTTTATCAATAATCCAATTCCTTTACACGTCTGGGACTGATGGATTATATTTAAGAAACTATCATGTCAGTGGATAATCACTTGACATGTAAAACAAAAAAGAAACACATTATTTCAATCAAACTCAGCTTGGAAGACAATAAAAAGTAACACCTTGCTATGGATCCATCAGCATTTTAGGTTCAATGACTTTGGATCAGAGCTGCGTCACTATAAACAACCAAGCTAAGCCTATAATTTCATATTGAGTGGATTTGCCTAGTCACTGATGCCATTTGCACATAAATAAAAAAATACAGTAAAGCCTTGCTTACAATTATAATGCCAAGTAAATTGGATGCAACTGTCATTGCAAGAGCAAGTGCAGAATTACCACCAACAAGCTGCATAGTAGAAAATTAAAGATATATTAGATTGTAATGCTAGTCTAGCCATATAAGAAACTATGTGTAGTATTAAATGTTAGTAGATACTTGGGGACAAGTAGTACCTGTGTTAGTATGACTCCACTTGATAATGTTGTTGGCATGCAGCAAAATATAGCTAATCCTGTAAGATGCAAAATATGTCAAACATACAAGGTACTAGGAGCACAGATGTATGAGGTAAAACCTCATGGCAATAAGAAATGACAGAATGAGAACAGAAATCCATCAGAAAAGCATACATGTGCTTGACCCATTTACCAGTGATAAATTCACGAGGGAAGAACTGAACTTGCATGATAAATTGAGAAACAAAGGGTGTAAGCAGCAAAATAGATCCCTGGAATTATACACAGTAAAATAAGATGTTAGCAAACTTATTGAGGGTGCTTGAATGACCAATAGAAGTAGGGAATTGGCATCTCCAGAAACAACCAGAAAGGCAATTATTACTCCTGGTAAACAAATAAATGCTATGGAATTTCCTGAAATTATATCTTGGTTCAAAACGGGATTGAGCACTTCGTTCAACATATTTACAGTTATGACCAAAGAACAGTATTAGAGCATGCAAGTCCGACAGCCACAGAATAAACATAAGGTCATACTAGTCCATATAATCCAGCAGGCCAAGCTTCTAATGCTGTACCAAGCTCCTTAGTTCGCAGGGTCAGTCCTATGAAGCCAATAGGAAGCTATTAGCTTACAGAAGTAACAGCACAAGGATTCACACGAATAGGTTTAGCAACCAAACCTGACATAACGAATATCCCAAAAGTGCTGAACTTCGACAGGGAGTATTCGTGAGCAAGGCATCCAAGAGTAGGATCTAGGAGACCGAGTATGACCCCACTAATGAGAGCTTAACAATGGGAAAAATGCAAATCAGTCCACGTAAGTACAAAACCGGAGACATTTTTTGTTTAAAAAAAACGGAGACATTTGCATGCTCTTGTCAACTACTCTCTCCATCCAAAAAGAGTGATGTTTTTTACTTTTAGACATCGTGTTTGACCGTTCATCTTATTCAAAATTTTTATGTAAATTATAAAATAAATAAATTATTATTAAAGTATCTTTAATGATAAAATAAGTCATAACAAAATATATGATATTTATATAAAAAATTTGAATAAGACGGATGATCAAACAAGATGTCTGAAAGTAAAAAACGACACTCTTTTTTGGGACGGAGGGAGTACATAGCAATATCGTGAAAACCAATTGTAGACATACTGTTGAGCTGTTTATGGGTTGTATGTATTGGTTCAGGCCCAAGAGTCCCATATTGATGTATATTTATATGTGTACTAAGAAAACAGAAAGAGTGAGACTTCCAGATATTTCCATAACAACATGGTGTCGGAGCTGTCCTGGGGGATGGCGGAAGCGACCACCTGCTCTACCTCGTCGGCGTGACGGTGGCTGGCGGAGAGGCGTGAAAGAGGCAGAGAAGCAAGCTGATCAGGTGGAGGAGGAGGCCGCCGCGCGAGCTCAAGCCCGAGAGGAGGCGCAGGCCCCTGTTGTCCGAGGGAACGGCGTGTGCGTGAGCAGGCAAGAAGGGCCGTGGCGGAGCTGATTGGAATAGGCGAGAGGAGCTTCCAAATCGAGCGGTGGTGCTGCAAGGAGGAAGACAGTGGTGAGTATTGGGAGCAACTCCTGCAGTTTGAGGTGGAGTGGGCTGCTGCGCAGTGAAGAAAGAGCTGCCGCAAGTCTGTGATTTTCGAGTGCTCTGCATCAGAAAGAAGGGAAGCTCGAGCTGTGGATTGAAGGGAGATAAAGAGTGGTGGTTCTGGTGGTGGCTTGCTTGCTCGAGAGTAGACAGGGAGGCACTGCGGTTGTGTACTGATTGGGAGCGGTAAAGGAGGAGGATTGGAGCAGGGACTGAAGAAAGGCGCTGGATTTGCTAATAGGAGAGAAATTTGGTGACAGTTTACTGCTTGGCAGCGGCAGGACTGCAATTGAAAGTAATCCTGGGTGGATTTGGTGCTTCCTTCTGATTTGGGGAAAATAGAGGAGAGCACCGTGAGGGAGAATAAGCAAGAAATTGTTGTCGTCCTGTGGATTTGGTATTTCTTCCTGGTTTCTGGGAAGAAAGAGAGCAGCTGTGTTGGAGCATATTGTAGTTGTGCTCCAAAATCGAGCTTCTGTAGTAGAGCTGCTGCTAGCTAGTGAAGGTTTGAGTGCTTGAGGAAGAGGAGGTGAAGTGTGGTGATAGCAGCAACTAAGTAATGGCAGAAAGTGGAAGGATTGAGCATATGTTTGAGAAGTTGGCTGAAATCCTCACCGTTAAGGAACTTGTGAAGCTGGCTCAATTATTTTTGGCGAGGACTTCTGAACTAATGTCAGCTACAGAAGAGTCAAATGTGAAGGAGAAGATGGAACAATTGCAAGGAAGCTCAAGGGGGGAGCGAGTTTCCAAAGGAAAATAAAAAGGCAACTATGCTCGGCAATCTCATCAATCTCGCTCGTCCTGACAAAGGTACATATGCAAATTGGATACATGATTCAGGTGCATCTAGACATGTCACGGGTGCATCTAGTGAGTTTGAATCATATAGTGCATATCCATCCACACATAGTGAGACTATTCAAACAGCTGATGGAACATGCCAACCTATTAAAGGTGTTGGTTCAGTAAAATGCTCTCCATCAATTACACTGTCATCGGTTTTGCATGTCCCCCTCCTTTCCAGTTAACCTACTATCATTAAGTGCTTTAGTTGATCAAATGGACTGTCAGGTTTCTTTTGATCGGGAAAATTGCATCATTGAGGACAAGAAGACTGGAAAAGAACTTGGAATTGGCATTAGGTACGGTGGGCTATGGTTCCTAGACCGAAAGAAAGATGACAAGTTCTTGGGCACTGCACTGACAGCAAGTATGAATGAAGATGAAGCTAAAGTGATGCTCCAACATTGTCGATTAGGCCATTTATCATTTGATACTATGGTAAAAGTGTTCCCAGAGATGATGAGGAAGGTGGACAGGAGAAAGCTTGTGTGTGATGCATGTGAATATGGAAAGCATACAAGATCGACATATGTAAGCAGGGGTCTAAGGAGCTTATCTCCATTTATGCTTGTGCACCCTGATGTGTGGACATGCCCGATCACCTCATTTAGTGGAATGAGGTACTTTGTTACTTTTATTGATTGTTATTCGTAGGTGACTTGGATATATCTCATGAAGCACAAGAGTGAAGTACTTAAATGTTTTTGGGATTTCTGTTCATTTATTGGGAATCAATATGATGCTCAAGTTAAAGTATTGAGGACAAACAATGGAATAGAATATGTGAACAATGAGTTTGTCAATTTTCTATCAACCAAGGGAATATTGCACCAAACCACGTGTCCTGATACACCTCCACAAAATGGAGTAGCTAAAAGAAAAAACCGTCATATCTTGGAGGTTGCACGTTCACTTATGTTTACCATGAATGTGCCGGAAGTTCCTATGGAGTGAGCCAGTGATGACGGCGGTATATTTGATTAATTGTATGCCTTCAAGATTGCTTGGTTGGAAAACTCCTTTTGAAATGTTGCAAGGAAAGAATGAATTTATTGTTCCACCAAAGGTATTTGGATGCACTTGCTTTGTCAGGGATCATAGGCCTTCGAGCAGTTAAGTGTATATTTGTGGGGTACTCATCAAGTAGAAAGGGATATACTTGTTGGTGTCCCACTGAAAGACGACTATTTGTAAGTATGGACGTGACATTTCGAGAATCTGAACCCTATTATGGGGAGAAGACTGATTTGAGTTCCTTGTTTGAGCTTAATGGTCAAAGTAGTGAGGATGGTCAAGAGGGGGAGGATGACATAGATGTGCCACAAGACAAGGAAGAAAATCAATCAAGGGGATCAGAAACTATCACAGGATTGATTCCATACAATGTGGGTAATGCCCAAGTAAATGAGAGGCAAGAAAATATGGGCAATATAAATATACATGCAAGGCAAGAACAAGGTACTCTTCGAGTTTATACTAGAAGAAAGAAGACAGTTGAAGTGCAGCCAGTACACCAGCAAGTTGAGCAACCACAATTGGTAGAGCAGCAAGAGGAGCAACCAGAGTGTTTAGATGTTGATGTTACTGGTACTGAGGTTGATCGGTCTATAGAAACAGGGGAGAAGAGGTCAACGCTCTACAGAAACAGGGGAGAAGAGGTCAACCTTCTATTAACCTGCCTATTGCTTTAAGAAAGGAAGCAAGGAGTACAGCTAGAAAACCTCCAACAAGATATGGGTTTCAGCATGATATAAGTAATTATGTCTCATATGAATCATTGTCTCCCACATATAGAGCATTTATTGCATCATTACAATCCACAAAAATCCCTAAAGATTGGAAAGAAGCAAAACTAGATCCTAAGTGGCGTAATGCCATGCTCGAGGAGTTAGCAGCACTTGAGAAGAAGAAGACATGGGAACTTGTACCCTCTCCTATGGGAAAGAAGATAGTTAGCTGCAAATGGGTTTACACAGTGAAGCAAAATCCTGATGGTAAGATAGAGAGGTATAAGGCAAGACTGGTGGCAAAAGGATATAGCCAAACTTATGGAATTGACTACGACGAGACATTTGCGCCGGTTGCAAAGATGAGCACGGTGAGGACACTAATCTCTTGTGCAGCTAATTTTGATTGGCCATTGTACCAATTGGATGTCAAGAATGCATTTTTGCATGGAGATCTTCATGAAGAAGTTTATATGGAAATCCCACCTGGGTTTGCTACCGCACAAACCAAAGGAAAAGTATTGAGACTGAAGAAATCTTTGTATGGTCTAAAACAGTCGCAAAGGGCATGGTTTGATCGATTCAGGCGTGCAATGTGTGGTATGGGCTACAGGCAGTGTAATGGTGATCACACCCTGTTTTATCATCACTCTGGAAATCGTATTACTATTCTTGCAGTGTATGTTGATGATATTATTATTACCGGTGATGACACTTTGGAAATAGCTCGACTTAAGGAAAACCTAAGCAAAGAGTTTGAGGTCAAGGATTTGGGTCAACTTCGATACTTTCTAGGCATTGAGATAGCAAGATCTGCTAGAGGAATTGTCCTTTCACAACGAAAGTATGTTCTTGATTTGCTAAATGATACAGGTATGCTTGGATGTCGCCCTGCTTCTACACCTATCGAGCAAAACCACAAGTTGTGTGCTCAATCTGGACAGCCAATAGATAAAGAGAAATATCAAAGACTTGTGGGAGCTTGATTTATTTATGCCATACAAGGCCTGATATAACATATGCAGTAAGTGTGGTAAGCAGGTATATGCATGATCCTAGGAGTGGACATATGGATGCAGTCTATAGAATCTTGAGGTATTTGAAGAGTAGTCCTGGGAAAGGATTATGGTTCAAGAAAAATAATCACCTAAATGTGGAAGGCTATTGTGATGCGGATTGGGCAAGCTGTCTAGATGACAGGAGGTCGACGTTTGGCTATTGCATCTTTGTTGGAGGAAATCTAGTATCATGGAGGAGCAAAAAGCAGCCAGTGGTGTCTCGATCAACGGCAGAGGCAGAATATAGAGCCATGTCTGTGTGTCTAAGTGAGATGTTATGGGTGACGAACTTGTTGTCCGAGTTGAAGCTAGGGAAAGGTCCCATTAATCTTTGGTGTGATAATAGATCAGCGATTAATATTGCTAATAATCCAGTTCAGCATGACAGAACCAAGCATGTGGAGATTGATCGCTTTTTCATCAAGGAGAAACTCGACAATGGAACACTCAAATTGAGTCATATAGCTTCGGGTGAGCAAGTAGCAGATTGTTTAACAAAAGGGTTAGGAGTTAAAGAATGTATATCAGCTTGTAACAAGATGGGCATGATTGATATTTATCGCCCATCTTGAGGGGAAGTGTTGAGCTGTATATGGGTTGTATGTATTGGTTTAGACCCAAGAGGCCCATATTGATGTATATTTGTATGTGTACTTAGAAAACAGAAAGAGTGAGACTTCCGGATGTTTCCATAACAACACATACTAATCTCTATACGTCAACTTCAATCTTTTAAAATCAGATCATCCTTGATTTACACCGAAACTTTCTGCATTCGAGAAATAAACCCACCTATCCCTACCCCACTGTGTTTCAGCTGTCTATAGTAAAATTTCAGGATGGCGCAGATGCAAATGCTATTTGGAATTTGGAGCTAATAAGTGCATTAAACCATTGTCAATTGTGCCTATATTGGGCCATGAAGTACAAAAGTCCACCAACTCCACAATAGACAAGCGTCATTTTTTTTTTCCTGATATATAAGCAGACAAGCATCGCATTTTACATACACAAACAGCAGTACGAACTCGCCCATCGATACGCGATTAAGCATCAGCTGGGATCACGTAGAAGCGGGAACTCACCAAGCGGGAGGAAGTTGCTACGCGCGAAGTCGAGCAGCGCGGAAGGCGGAACCGCGCGTTTGCCTCCATTATCGCCACCGACCTGCGGAGCAACCGAGCAAGCAGGCATTTACAACTCGACCGAAGCATACCCCTAGGAGTAGCGAGGAGCGTGTAGCTTGAGGCGAGGGGGTCTCGGTTTGGATGTTACCGGCGAGGCTGCTCCACCGGCGGCGGCGCGCAGAGGCCGCAGGCGAAGGGGCACCGCAGAGACGACGGGGGTGGACACAAAGGCGTTGGGTGTTGGGCACCGGCCGATGACGCTGGCCCGGGCGGTGAGGACGGATGGGCGGAGCAGGGACAGGGAGGGATGGTAGGTTACCATCGCGGAATCGGAGACGAGACACGAGGCGGAGGCCGGAAGCGGAAGGAGAAGCCGGCGCGCGTGGCCACCAAAAAGTGGTGGGGATCGGGCTAGCAGCGGCCTGCGAGGGGCCTCCGGCCAACGGTTCGTTATGACATCCAACGATCCTCATCGCAGGTTTGACAGATCGAATGGCTAACAAGACGAATGCGTGCTGCGCCAGAGATTTGGAGATAGAGATGTGTCGTTTACCCGCCGCCGCCTCGCACGTGGTCGCCGCGCCGCCACCGTATCCCGGGCCACTGGATGTCTTGATGCCACCGCTGCGTCCCGCACCGCAAATGCTCGTTTTGCGCACAGGCGAATTAGAGCTGGAGCTGGGCAGCTCCTCGCCGTCGCAGCCTCGCACATGCTCGCCGCCGACGTCGCTGCCGCTCTGCTCGACTGGCTGTGGCAGTGTTTAGCAACGACGGGAAAGGCGCAAATCAGTCCAGTTAAGTTCAAAACCGGAGACATTTGCATGCTCAAAAAGGCATTTCTGAACTGAAAAAAGAGAGACAATTTTCGGTCTAGATCAAATTAAACTAATTAAATTTTCATTAAGTTGATTAGAAGTGGTTTTATCCTTTTCTTAAAAAGATATCGCTAAACACCTAATAAAGTTTTTAAACCACAAAAAATGTCTCTAAGGCTTATAAAAGCTATAAGAAAACTTTAGGGATAGATTGGGACATGATCAACTCAAATAAAATATTTAGACCTTATAAAAATATTCTTCTTAAATTTTGATTTAGCACTAGAAAAATGAAAAAATATCCAAAAAAACTAAAAAATTATAAAAAAATAAAATCGATGTCTAATTTCATTCTGAAAAAAATTTCACAACAAAAACACGAGATGCAACCATCATTAATGAATTCAACATTAACATCTATTGCATTTCTTTTTTTGTTGTTGTAGAAAATTTATAAAGCATGTTTAGACATTGACTATAATATTTTAGGGTTTTTTTTCTAGATTTTTAGATATTTTCTCATTTTTCTAGAGTTAAATCTATTTTATGAAAGCTTCTAAGTATACTTTTCACAAGCTCTAAATATTTTGGGCTCATGTGCGTTCCCAACCCTCCCGGTCGCCATGCGCGCATCAGCCGTTAAACGGACAAGGCACGAATTAACGAACACTGAACATGGCCACTCTACTTCCACTTGAATACTCAACATGTAAAGGGTTGTTTGGATGCAGACCTGGGAATCTCGCCTGGTCCAAGCATCTATCCAATTTTGGCCCCGTTCGTTTCGCTAAAAAAACAAGTCGAAATACTATTCTGACTGATTTATTGTGAGAGAAAAACACTGTTTCGGTTGAAAAAATAAGCTAAAAAGTACGGATTATAAGAGAAACAGACCCTTCGTGGGTTTAGACGCACCTGTCCGAGCTAGAGCTCCTAGGCCAGGGCTCGAGACAACACAAGCCATAAGTGTCGTTGGCCCGCGGGCATTGCTACTATCTGGTTCCTGCTTATTTGCTTAGTTATTGTCAGTTCATCAGTATTTCTACTTCATCAGCTCGTTTTGCTCTGTTTGTTTAATTTGGTTTATCAAATTTGTATTTTGGTTGGCTCATTTAGAAAGCACGGTGAAAATAGGAAAGAAAACGGCAAGGGGCGCTCTTGCATGCTAAAATTGACACGGAATTATTTGGGGCATTTGGTGAACCAGTGGTGGTGTAATGGAGTCATATGCTTTGTTAATCCATCCTTTTGTCACTTCTTACTGATCCAGCTGTACACAAACAATAGGACTCAGATTCACTCACTCACGGAGATCGTGTGCATCGAGTCTGCACTCTGCAGATTACACACAGTGAACTTGCAAAAATAATCGGCACAACCATCAATAATATCCTAAAAGATGCCCTTCTATTACTTTACAGATTACAAATTGGGAACTATAATAAATTGATCCTTCATCCACAGTGATACTCATCGATGTTACCAATTCCACAGTGACTCATGTAATAACTACACATACAAAGCTTGAGGCCTCGAGAAGCATCCAGCAATGGTTAATTAATCATGCATCATGGACCATTGGGAGACGACGGAGCACGAAACCGAAATACACGAGCCGAGAAGAAGCGAGACGAGCCAGCAGCCAGTAGGAAAGCGCCAGGCAAGCAGTGGCACTGCACCAGGCAGCAGCAACGCAGCGCATCCACTCATCATCGACTCATCGTCCAAACACCCCCGGCCGCGGGCGGCTGCGCTCGCTCCACTGTCCTGCCCCCCGCGCGCACAACACAAGCAACAGCAGCCCCGATGGCCGCCGCCGCCGCCACCGCGTCCTCCGCCACAGCCTGCTTCCTCTCCCCGCTCCCGCCGCCACGCCGCCCGCGTCATTTCCTCAGGCACCTCGCGCGCGCCGCGGCCACCAAGCCCGCGCCCGCCTCCGCCTCCTCGCTCGCCCTCCCCTCGCCGTGGCCGTGGGCGCGGCTACGGCGGCTCCGCGAGCTAGTCCCCGCCGAGGCCGCGGGGCGGCTGCTGTCGTCGGCCGCGGGCTCCCTCATCGTGGCGCTCGCCTCCGCGTCGCTGGTCCTCGGCGACGCCCCGGAAGCTGCAGGCGGACGAGCTCGCCACCGTGCGCCTCTTCCAGGAGAACACGCCCTCCGTCGTCTACATCACCAACCTCGCCGTCAGGTGGGCCTCCCCGTCCCCGTTCCTTGCCTCTGCGTTGTGTGTCTGAACTCGGGAGCCCTCAGCTCCTCCGGATTGCAATCAGAGGCTAGAGGATGCTCTAATCTCTTACGCGTGCTGCGTGTGCAGGCAGGACGCGTTCACGCTCGACGTGCTGGAGGTGCCACAGGGGTCCGGGTCGGGCTTTGTCTGGGATAAGAGCGGCCACATCGTCACCAATTTCCATGTCATCCGTGGCGCGTCAGACCTCAGGTTGGTTCGGACGGCTGGATTGCTTTCCTACTACGCTTCCTTAGCCGATTGGTTGTGTTCAGATCAAACATCAAAGCTTGTCAATTCTAGTATTAAAGGTTACGGTCGCTGGTGTTTCATTAAAATATGCTCTAGCCTTCCAATAATTTCAAGTGGACAGAGTGGGGGGAAAGGAGTTGTGGTGCTGCTGCTGCAATGTGTGTATTGGTAAGCTGGAGCAGCGCAATTACTGATTGACAACACTCCAGCAAACTACAAACAGGGGCACAGGGCCCATCTGTAATGGTTCATTATCAATTTGGCTCCCTAGAAGACCTGGTCGGAGCAAAAGTAGTATGTCGAAAAGGCCGATATTTTAGTGTAGCGGAAGCAACATGACACTTGTTCAACAGCTTCACTATCTGGTTGTTAGAAGTTATGGAATGTCTCTGCATTACACAAAGTTTTAGAAAAGATACTACTTTCTCTAGAAGTTCCTTGCATCCCAATTTCAAGAAGTGAAACTTAATGCTACACTTTGAGTATTTTAATGCAAAAGAACTAATTCTTCAGGCTAGCAATGGCATAAACTTCTGACTTTTGCTAACCACGTTTTTGTGTTAGTTGGCAATGCTCTGCAGTTGTGCCCATCTCACTGCTAGATCTCCACATGGTCAGATACACGAATGCAAAACATCCATACGTGTTTATATATTTTTTTTCGATGACTTTTAGATGTCAATGATGCCTATAGATATATAATGGCGAAATGAAGTTACAACTGATAGTTTTATGCAGGGTCACACTTGCTGATCAGTCAGTGTATGAAGCGCAAGTTGTTGGATTTGACCAGGACAAGGATGTTGCTGTTTTGCGTATCAAAGCACCGAAGGATAAACTAAGACCTATACCTGTTGGTATGTCAGCAGACCTACTGGTTGGTCAGAAAGTATATGCCATTGGAAACCCAGTGAGTGCTAAAAACACCTTTCTTCTTGTTGTGTTGCTTATAATATAATGAGATTATGTGTACAGCATGGTTGATTTGTACCTTAGAAGTTAGAGATAGATGTGGTATCTTAAAGCCTTTGGTTGGTGCTCTTACTTTTATGTACTTGCTTCTAGGATTCCTGAAATTTTTTCTTATTTTAACCTTGAATTCTTGATCCATGATAAACATTTGCAAAGGCCAGCTGCTGTTCTTGTTTCATGAATATGTTGTTAGGTAGTGTTTAAAGGTAATAACATACTAGAGTTACAGCAAACATTAATGTGATCATAAAAAAAATGATGTGCATCGTTTTTGTTCCGCGCTCCACAGATCAAAGTTTGACACAATTCCAATGCGGAAAGATATGATCTTAGCTTTGCTAGGAAAATTATTGAACTTCAATAACAAGGGCGAGTTCTCTCGATTGTTAATACGCTGCAGACTTATTACCAATTTACCCATAGTCTTAAACATTTATTACTTTTTTGTGTTTGCAGTTTGGCCTTGACCACACTCTTACAACAGGTGTTATCAGGTAGAACATTGTTTGTTAAGCTGATTCATCTTTCTCTGATTCATATCGGAATGCACTGAGACTCTGTTTTACTGTTTCTGCTGATGCCCCTAGTGGATTGCGTCGAGAAATCAGTTCAGCTGCCACAGGACGTCCTATACAAGATGTGATACAGACTGATGCTGCTATCAACCCTGGTAACAGTGGTGGTCCACTTCTTGATAGTTCTGGAAACTTGATAGGTGTAAACACTGCTATATACTCGCCCTCAGGAGCATCATCTGGTGTTGGGTTTTCCATTCCAGTTGATACAGTATGTACATTTTCAACTCTGTTTTCTAAAAATCTGTTTACAGTAGCAGTTCACTCAAGTCAGTTCCAAAATTCATTTTAGTTTGGTTTCATTCTTCCTTGCAGTTAACTCACATGCTTTGACAACGACACAAATAATACCTATTTTCAGGTTGGGGGCATTGTGGACCAACTTATAAAATTTGGCAAGGTGACAAGACCTATTTTGGGAATAAAATTTGCCCCTGATCAATCTGTAGAGCAGCTTGGGTTAAGTGGAGTGCTTGTCTTGGATGCTCCTCCAAACGGACCAGCTGGCAAAGCGGTGAGATGCCTTTTGTATTTCCTGATTTGGTAATGACTTAACTTGAAAGCAGGGATTTCTTAGAATGGGGATGCTGTAATTATGCTTCAGTTTCACTTTGAGTTCTGGACTTCATTATTATTTTCAGATTATTCATTCTCTATGCCCAGTTACAACACATGCAACCATGGGAAAACCTTGAGCTATTATTTATTAATACACTAGACTGTAGCTTCTGTTGAGCTTTCATGTGTGTTTGGAACTAAGAACAACTCAGAAAACAAACTGGACATGAAAAATATTTTTTTCAAAGAAATTTTCCTCCTTTGTACCTTTCGTCTAACATGATGCATTTCTAAATCATGTCTTTGCATCAATACTGCTACTGTGGCTAAAAGTTCTACTTCCCATGTTGTTTATCAGGGTCTGCAATCAACCAAACGAGATCCCTATGGCCGGCTTATCCTGGGTGACATAATTACCTCTGTGAATGGTTCAAAGGTAACAAACGGAAGCGACTTGTATCGGATATTGGATCAGTGTAAAGTTGGGGAGACGGTAAGCTTTGGGTTTTTTTTAACCTATACATGTCTATATACAAAAGAAGAAATTTGACGTGCTTGATAGTTGCTATTTGCTAAGATACTGAATTGCATGGTGTTTAAGGTGACCGTGGAAGTCTTGCGTGGCGATCATAAAGAGAAGATCCCTGTGGTCCTGGAACCGAAGGCTGACGAATCCTAGTAAACCAGGTTCTTCTGTATCATAGCCTCAGTTTCTCACGTAGGCGCAGAGGCGCAAATACATAAGGCGTCTTAGCATTTTCGCCTATCACGGGATTCGTTCGTTGTACATAATTCATGCCTGTAGTAGAAGATCTACTCTCTCTGGTCTGGTGGGAAATGGGTATCCAGGTTGCCGTAATGCCGTCGTGTAATCATGTTCATGCCCGCATTTTCTGTGTGTGCTGTAGCATGTACGCATCCTACAGACTAGTGCTTTAGAGTTTATATATGGCCTACCTTATTAATACGAGATGTTCATCAGATGACCCTCCAGGGAAGGGAACTGCAGGTCGATGAATGAATGAACTTCTGATATCACAGATCACCTAAACCTTTTTGACCAAAAAAATACGTGGTGACTTTTTTGCAGGAGCAGTTGGCACCGTTGCAAATCCTAGGTGCGATCCCGGAACACAACAGGGATTAATGTGATAGCTATGCCGTGACCCGTGACGTGCCATAGATCGCTGGGGCTACTTTCCTACCTACATATCTAGAGCTTGTCGTGGAATTTGAAAAATCAAAACAGTTGCGGAAACGGAGAGGACTGAAGGATATGTCTCGTTACGCGCGACAATATATCTGTCGGTGAAAAAAAAAGGGCTGGGAAAGTAGTTTGCGTTATAGTCACTTGCTAAAATTTTGCATCAGAAAATCTCGGAAAGGAGCGATCGCCTCTCAATTTGAAATCAAGACAAGAAAATGATGTCCGCGCAGAGGAAAAGAGTAAGAACTGCAAGTACAGAGAACACGTCACGCGGTTTTTCTCTGATTTTCTATGCCGTGTACTACTCCCTAATAAGTTTTAAAAAAATGCAATCATCATCGTTTCGAGTAGTCAAACAATTTTAAGGATGATCGAATCTAAAACTACTGTAGTAATATCTATGATATTGAATAAAATTATTTGAAAATGTGAAATATGTTTTTATAGTAAATCTATCTGAAAAAATAAATCTTGATATTTCTTTTATAAACTTGGTCGATATTTTTTTTAAAAAAATAGCTCGTTCTAAATCTAGAATTGTGTTCTTTTGGGAATGGATGGAGTATTTATTAATAAACTCCCGTCGAAACCGAGATTATAGCCTGTGCTGGAGGAGAAGGGGTTTATTTTTATTTAGATCGTCTAGACTAGATGGTGCTAGAGAGTGATCTCCACAGACCGCAGCTGGTACGGCGCATGTAGCGTTGGCGAATTGGTCATTGCGTCGCGTCTGCTATAGAGCTCCGCAGCTCTTCTCTTCTTGGCTACAGATCGGCAGGCGGTTTCCTCCGATCCAAGCGTAAACCTCTTGGCTCTTGCGTACGTGACGCATGATCTGAACTCGGAGGCCGCGTGCGGCGACGAACAAAGCAAACCGGCGGGCGACGCAACTGATCCAGAACACTGTTCGCTTGCTCGTAAATGATCATAAATTCTGTGTTTTTCTCTCACATCAAACCAGCCAGCAGTAAATAATCCACGATACGATACGGCCTCCCGAACATGTTGTTAGGTCGCGTGACGGGTCCGCGTCTGGCATTAACGCCCGCGCGCCCGCCCCCGGGCTTAGCCTTCGCCACCACCACACTAATAACCTGCAGGCTTCCTAATCACGCCTCCGGCCGGCCGGCCCCGGGGCCCCGGCCCCGTCCCACCACTAGATTAATGGCTGTGGCCGGGAGCCATGCAGTCGGATCGCTCTCGTCAGCGGCCACTGTTAGCTAGGTCCTAGTCCTAGCGCTAATGGCCTGTGAAAGGTGAGTGCAAAAGCTGAAGTGGTACAGTGGTACACCGCCGCTTGACCGCTTCAGTCGACCTCGACGATGACGACGACGACATCTTTCGGAAAAAAAGAAGACTTCGACAACGACGACGACGCTCCGCCGGCCGGCCGCCTGCGCAGCTGAGGGACGACGGAGACGATCAACATGGTGATGCAGCACCATGGCATCTGGAAGCACCAGCTTGGGAGTTGGGACATGCATGAGCGACGTAACGAGGGTTAATTACTTGTTGGTGCAGCACGCTGCACGTACGCAGGGCCAGGGAAAACGACTCCAACTTTATTTATTTGCTTGATTCCTTTGTGTATATTGTAGAGATCGATATGCCTAGATCCACATCCTCGACTGAGTTTTAAGCATCTGAGATCGATCCCCCTCGAAGGAAAGGGTGAGCTTCCATTTGAATGAACAATATCGATCTACTCTGCTTCTTTACTACTCCCTCTGTAAAAAAAAGAGAGAGACAATTCTCGCTTGTTGAGTAATCAAACAATTCTCAGTTGGATCAAATTTATAAAAAAAATTTAGATATCGAATAAGTATTACCAAATTAAATATAATATATATCTAATAAATCTATTTGGACGTGTAACTGTAGTTAAGCTTAATTAAAAAAGTTTGATTTGGTTCAAACCTAAAATTACTTCATCTTTTCTTTAACAAACGGAGTATGTGGTTGTGCGGAGGAAACTGGAATTGGATGGTGGTTTATACGTACGTTGGGTATGCACCGTCTCTTAGTTAAGCAGTCTAATCACCTCTGATCAGCTTCGTATTGCAATACGTCGTCAGGAAACTAATAACAGTAGGTCAAGGACCAGTACGTGCCAGTAGCTAGTAGGCGCCTGCTTACGTACACAAAGCAGGCACGACGAGTAGTCATGGATCAGATAGGTAGAGCATCGGCATCGCTAGCAACTCAGATTAAAAACAAAAACAAAAAAGTAAGTAAAGAGTATTCTCTAACTCCACTTTTTCTTTTTCTTTTGTCACCAAGAACAAGAACAGCTGTCTCGTAATCCAAAATATATATCACCAGCTCGTGCTCTACAAGCAATACGTCAAACAAAACCTAAAAATATGCTGAATAAAATGTACTAATGGAGTGTGCACAGTACACACACTTCACGGCTGACCGGCTACAAGTATAAAGCTGTCATCCAGCCCTGTGTTACATTACACTGCAGTAAACTGATGATTACCAGCAAATAAACAAGCCAGCCAAAGTTACCAATCGCTCACATATATACCAACTTAATCACTGTACGTACGTGTATACGTTAATACGTATGATATGCCGCTGAGTAGTGTTCATCAGAACGGGAGGTAGCTCCGGCGGAACAAGGCGGCGTTGGCGAACAGCCCGACGAGGTCCTGCTTGTATGGCAGGAACGACCTCCGGCGACGCGCGCCGCCGCCCTTATTATTGTTGACGTAATAGCTCCAGGCGTGGGCACCACCACCTCCAGCGGAACCGGCGCTGGCAGCACCCTCCACGGCGCCTCGCCCCTTCTGGTTCCGGCGCCCGAACGACCCGCCGGAGGAGGCGGTGCTCAAGAAGACGAACTTCTCCTTGCCGTCGCTCTGGCTACGACCGACGACGAGACGGGGCCGCCAGCGGAGCACGGACCCCGTGGAGCTGCTCTTCTTGCACCGCGCCGGGGAGGAGGACGCCGCCGCCGCCGCCGCCGCCGCGGCCGACCACCCGGGGGACCAGGGGCCGAACATCTCCGCCGGCACCGAGTCGAGGCCTTCGCCGTCGTCGACGTCGTCTGCGGGCGCTGGCGGCGGCGGCGGCGACGGATCCCTGTCCACGAGCAGAAGCCGTCCTAGCGGCACCCGCGCGGTGGCCGTCTCTGGCTCCGGGACCGGAGCAGCCCGCGGCGGGGACCTCGGCCGGCCGAAGACTGGGTACAGCAGCGGCGGGCCCATGCAACCGCCGCCGCTGCCTGCAGATAGTAGACGAGGAGGCGGCTGGGCGGCGGCGAAGGTGAAGTCGTCAACGCCACCGCCGTCGTCCATGACGATCCTGCTGCGCTCCCAAAGCATGCTCTGCTAGTGCTGCTCGCGTTCGGTCTCCGTGCTCGGACGACGACGACGACTCAGCAGCAGGCCACTGCCGCGTCCCATGTTCGGAAGGGTGCGGTGGCTGGACGCTCCTCGGCGCCGGGGGGCTCGCTTTTTATACGCGGCGATTGGCGCTCGATCGCATCGAGACGCCCTGGATGCGATCAGCTGAGGACGGGATAATCTTGACCGCTGAATCGCTGATCGCAGCATCGGGCATACGTTAACTTTCCGTGGGATGGACATGGACGTGGTTACGCGCTTTGGCTAGTGCGATCGAGAGTGCATCAACAACGCCAACGGAACGGATGTGGAAAAAAAAATCGGCACGAAGTCGCTACGAGTACATATCGCACATCGCTGATTCACCGCACATGTCAATGCATAACATTAAACGCGTAGGATTGTTACGTGAATTCAGAATAACAAATGACAAAGAAACAAAAAAAAAATCTCTTTGTATGGACACGACGTAAATCTAAAGGAATTGTAACTCTCTTTGTATGGACGACACGTACTATGAATTCATGACACTAACAATGTCTCCATGGGATACACGGTTTGGATCAGGTTTTGAAGTGAGATGCCGACGTGGCCGCGGGTTAGTGCAGACGTGAAGTGGGACTGGGAGGGTGATGAACAGCCCATACCGCGTGGGCGGCACACAATGGGCGCCGCCAGCAGCCCACCTGCAGAACGCGCGGTGATGCCCTCGCACGACGCCGAAAACGTGGTAAATACGGCGAACACTCTGTAAAATTATATTATACACAAGAGTACGCAAGTGAGCGCGCCACTGTTTGGGTCACCCTCTTCCTAGTTTTATTTTCAAATTCACAAATTGTTTTCCATATTTTTTCTGTTTCAGAAAATTATTTTGGGGATTAATAACGGTCGTTAGTGAAACGGGTTTGGATGCTTGCAGCGAAACACCTTTTTTACTCCTTCACTTTCCCCATTGCGACACTCATTTCCAATTATTATTTTCTAATAAGAGTATAAAGCTCGCATTGACCTTTATCTAAAAAGGAAGACGATGACCATTTACTAGACTGGTATTTTATGGACCACCCGGCAGGCCCAGCCCATTATGACCCTGCCTCCCCACCATACTGGGCTTCAGCAATCCCGCACCCAACTTTTTTTTTCCTTGCTCCTACGTGTGTGGAAAACAGTTTGTCGTTATCGACTCCCGAACAATTCTTTAATTTTGCAACCAGGCCTAAATAAGTAAAGAGCAAGTATTTCCTTTTGTAAAAACAAAACAATTTTATTCGTGTCTCTGTATAGATTACATACAACCATTTATTATTATAATAGTTCCAGCCTTCTAATCATTGCAAGTTGTCAGCAGCATAAGAAAAAACTCAACAGTAACTAGATCATGGGAAAAACGAGAAATTGTACTTCATAAGTTATGCCGATCGGAAATGTAAGTTATCTAAGCCTGTCCTAACTCCAAAGTCAAACTTATTATTTGATTTTGACTTACAATATCTATAATAATATATATTAGCTTAAATAAGAAAAATTATATACTATAAAACTGGTTTTCAAAGTGAGGTCAGAAACAATGTTCTTAATCTTGTGTTGTCAATCTATATGTAATTTTTTTTGTATTGCTGGTTAAAGTTAAAAACAAAGTTAACTTCATACAGGCCTAGACTGACTTATATATGTTTCGAATAATGGAAGAATTACTTGAAAACTCAAGTCAATTACATGAGCACAACCACATCAAATCTCTACCGAGAACGAGTTAAACAACTTAAAGGTAAACTAGTTACACCTAGTAAGACTGTGAAACAACATGGAAGTTGTGTTTCAGAACAGGTAGCAGCTCCGCCCGCACGTGACGACGCTTGCAACCAGCTCGACAAGATCCTGCTTGCATGGGAGGAACGACGTCGACGACGACTTGCCGCCGCCCCTGGATCCGCTCCTCCGGCAGCGAGCGGGGGACGCCCGCCGAGACGATCCTGTTGGCGCCGGCGGCGAAACACCGGGGGACCACAGGCAGTAGGTCTCCGCCGGCACACCGTCGAGCTCGGCGTCGGCGTAGTCGCACCACGGCTCCTCCACGAGGAGCCGCCCGAGCGGCACCCGCACGGTGGCCGTGCCAGCGGCGCCGGGGCCCTCCTCCTCCTCGTCCTGTTGCTGCTGCTGCTGTTCCTTCGGCGGCGACCATCGTGGGCGGCCGAATACGGGGTACACGGGGACGCCGATCCGGGCATCTTGGAAGGCGCAGTCGGCGGCCTGCAGGCGCGGGACCGCGACGGCGACGGCGGCGAAGGTGAACCCGTCCTCCTCGTCCTCGTCACGGGCGGTGGCAGTGACAGTGGCACAGCTGCTGCTGCTGGTGGCCGGTGCAGCGGGAGGTGCGACAAGATCCAGGCGGGCGATGGCCGCGACGCCGCGGTGGTGGTCGCTTTCGGTGTCGGGCATGGCGGCCAGCTGGCTGGGCCGTCGTGGTCTGGCGGAGCAGAGCTCGTCGTGCGCCGCGAGCTGGCCGTGGCGCGCGGAAATAAAGGTCGGGTGGGCCGGCGGGGAAGGGGGAAACGGGCAAGGGCAAACGGCAGATGCACGCGCGAGCGGGCCAGCCGGCCAGGCCAATCGGCAGGTTGGTCCACTTGGCAGTGAGCGGAGGAAGCTGGAGTGGCTGCTGGGTGAGCGGGCCAGGTCTGGCGGGTGGCGATGACATGTGGCGGAGGCCGGCGATGGAGTGGGACGACTGGAATGCAGCCATGCAGGCAAGCTGGAGAGCAGCAAGGGAATACCGCCGATCCCAAGTGGAGTCACTGGAGTGCAGCAGGCCAGCAGTCGGAATGGATGCGAATGCGACTCGTCATGTGCCTTTTCTTATCCTTTTGCACGGTTCGTCTGTTCCTCGTAGGCCTTTTTGTACAGCTACGTACACATCGTTCACCTACCACTGCCACTACCCACTGGGAGTGTTCGGTGTTGAAGTGGGACGTGGTCGATCAGGTCTTGCTTTGTAGCCGTCCTTCTCTCTCTGTGTTTGGCTATGGCTACACTCATTAATTATTATTATTAGATCCACACTTCAATCCATACCTATCGAAGGAAATTAGAATAAAAAAATTAACTATTCATGTGTTGGAGTAGATTATGACAGAAATTAAGTATTTTGTAATCTTAATTCATCTCAAGATAAATAGATTGAAGTGGATACAGGATACAAGTGTTTTTATAAAGATTCATGTATGCATGCTTACGGTGTCAGAGTTGTATCGCGTGTCTTTGACGCAACGCAATGCAATGCATGTCGCCGGGGCCCCGGGTAATGTGCTATTGTGCTTCGCTTTCGGTAAAGAATAAGGTTGCACTCGCAAGGTGGCATTGCATCCTCTTCATTTGCTTGCACGTGTGTTGCTGCATCAATCAATGTAGCACTAGTACAGGCTGCTTGTTCCGTAAGGTTTTTGCGGAAGCAGTGCAACAGAAGGGCTATTAGGTTGACCTAGATGGCCTGATGGCCGCCGTCCCTCATCTTCAAGTTAATGGGCCCAAATCCTGAACCATCTCTCTCTTCGGCTTGGGCCGATGTTCATCCCTTACTATTTCTTTCCAACTTCCTCTATTACCTTTTGCAAAAAAAATTAAAAAAAGAGCTAATCGGATATATGCCAATACAAATATCGTGCTTCCGAGGTATACAGTACTATTCACAGTGTTGGGAGAGTGCCATTATAATTTCATACATCTTTGAAATATGCCATTGCTTACCCCTTTGATGCATTTATCACAATTTCTATACCAAATTGCCCTCGTCTCTTTCCAAAGAACCCGACGGCCGACGCAGCAACCACGGGTGACGCTAGCTCAGCCCCCACCATCATAGACGCCAGTGACAGCGAGGCGACCGTGCCGAGCAAGTCCGTGAGCCACTGCCCCTGAGCCCTCGCGCGCAGCTCCTCGTCGCCTCACATGTAGGTTGTAGGGTCGTCTGCCGCCCCTGGTTCGACTGCTCCACGTACAGCCGAAATGGAGTCCATAATCCATGCGGAGCAGGAATGGAGTCCGCCGTCAGCAGCTACTACCCGTGCAGCCGCAATGTATTTGTCTTTAGTCGCCACAAGGCGAAAGCGCTCCCGCTCCACATCTATCCATGGAGGGGGGAGGCGTACATACGTCAGCTAGCTCTAGCGGCCTCTGGATCACGATCAGGCAGGTGCAGTAGGTGACATGACGCCAACGTGGCTCATTTCTATTCGGCTGATGGTTTTTTGGCTGATAAATCGATTAATGCTGTTTTGTTGTGAGAAAAAAAAAACATTATACCATGACTGATAAGCCGGACTGATAAGTTCAAGCGGACATTACAAGGTTCGAGCTCTCGGCACGTACACACCGTACGCAAGCAACATGAAGCGATGAGCGTCTCTCTCTAGTCAGGGCAACGGCGGCAGCTAAATAGCTAAGGTTGTTCCAGGACGCACACGCGCGTGCACCGGTGCAGGGCTGTAGGCACATGACGCCAACGCGCGCTCGCTGCACGGCGCGACGCAAACGAGCGAGTCCAGTATGTGCGTGAGTGCGGATAGAATTGACAGGTTCATCTGACATAGATCTAGCATGTATACTGATATTTGGGATAAATAGCAAGTCCTAAAATATAAAGTAGTGCAGGATTTACAGATAGAGCGAGAGAGAGGGGGTTTACGGAGATGCAAACCATCGGCCGCCTTCATAGAAGACGAGCTGGTCATAGAGTCGCTTGTCGGTGACGCGGTGAAGCCCGGCGGTGAAGACGCTGTCGCTGTGGCGGCGGTGGCCGGTGGTATATTTCAGAGATATGTGAAATTGTAATGGTACTCTTTCAATATCGTGAATACTAATGGTATATCTCCAAAATGCGATATTTGTAATGGCATGTATCCAATTAACCCAAAAAACAAACTCCAGTGTTTGATTTCATTTCGATATTATTGGATGGGTTGGAGTAGTACTTTTACGATAATGATACACAGCGGGCGCCCGGACGGACCTGACCCGCCTGACCCGACTCACCCGTGCCGCACGCCGCCTCACGCACTCCACCTTATCCTTCCTCGACTGCTCACTCCCGTAGCGCTCGCGTCCCTCCCCATTCTTATCCTTTCGTGTCCCGCGCCTACACCCGACGATGCGGGCATCGCTGCTTCCTAGCCGGCGGCGGCTCCTTCCCTCATCCCCAGCGTCCTCCTCCCCACACCAGCGGCCTTCTCCCCCACCTCGGCACTCGATGTGGAAGAGGTGGCCGCACCGCGACAGCGCGCGGGCCGTCATCGTCGATCGTCCCGGCGATCCTCGTCCCCCTGCCCCTCCCCTATGTTCCTTGACCCCTGGCGGCTCCCTCCCCCCCCCCGGCGTCCTCCTCCCCCACCTCGGCGGCGCCCTCCCCCACACCGCGTCCTCCCCATCGGGCCCCCAATTACTGCGCAGATTCGGTGGCCATGGCACTCCTCGCGCCATCTCTCTGTCCTCCTATGTTGTAATTGTATGTTTCAATTGTTTCAAGAGTTTGAGGTATGTTACGTTTGTTTCATATGGATGTTGCAAAAGTAGATCGGGAGATGTTGCAATTGTTTCAGAGGAATGTTGCAAGAGTATGTTTCGAGTGTTTTAAATGTTTCAACGGTATGTTTTATCTATGTTTTCTGGACGCATGTTGCAATTGTGTGTTATCTGGATGTTGCATATATTTTACTCATATGTTGCATGAGTTTTATTCGGATGCATGTTGCATATGCAGTGATTTTCAAGTGTGTTTTTCAAGTGTTTTATAAGCATGTTTGAAGTGTTTGAACCGCCTTCACACGTATATTGCAGCCATTGTATTTTGATGTTTCAAAAGTGGCAAGGCATCCATACTGAACGAGGATGGACTATGGGCGTATTTGTCTCTCGAGCGGGATGGGCGCTGGCGGAGGGCCACGTGCGTCATGGTTGGGAGCAAGGGGGCGGAGGTGCGTGGTGGCGTGGGTGCGGCGGGCACTCTCTCCTATTAACGCGATTGGATTTGATTTTTTACGTGAGGGAGGGCGGGCGGTTGAGTCGAACGGAGGCGCGTCAGAATGCAGGCCTAGGGCCGGACGTACTAGTACTCATATTTCAGTGGTAGTACCAGTAGATACAAAATTAGAGATGTAGTAATACTTGGATTTGGAAAAAAAAATACATTTGTAACGGTAGTAATTTCGAGATTACCAGTGCTGCTACAAAAGCAAACAGAAAGCCACAGAAGAGGCCAAATGGTCGACAGAAACAATGTTTTCCCCAGCCGCACGAACAGAAAGGCCACTTTTCACATCGTGGTCCGTGCAACGGGTGCAAGCTAGAAAGGCCTGCCCGTGCAGTTCCGACCCACCATTTTACACTACACTACACCTACGCTACGCTACGTTACTCTCCCACCCACACGGCCACGCCCACACACACACACAGGCCGAGAGGCCGCGCACCAAGAGGGCCAGGCCCAAACTAGCTAGGCGCCAAACTTGCCGTGCACCCGACAAGGTCCGGCACGAGATCTACCACGGCTCCTAGAGAGACGACGACGAGGCCATCAAAACCAATCAGCCACGTCGGCACGTCGCGTCGCGTCCCGTCGTCGGCCGGGACCGGCGCACCAGTCAATCATACAGCAGCGACGCACGTTGGGCGTGTCGGACGAGACGAGGACGTGCACCTGCTCTGCTCCCCCCGCGACCGCCGCCGGCACGGCACTCCACTCGTGCGGCTGGCGGGTAGCGGGGTAGCAGCTGGCTCCCCCTCACGCCGGTGGTCACGGGGTTTTCCCCGCCGACCCCGAGAAGGAGACGCGGCCGAAGCCCCAGTGGCCGACCCGGTACATCTCGTCCAGCCACGCCAGCTCTTCCACCTCGGCCTGCTGCATCTGCTGCCGCTGCTGCTGATGCACCGGCGCGGCTGCCGCGCCGACGGTGGCGTGGTCATCGGCCACGTCCAGCAGCGTCCCGCTGCCCGCGCCGGGCACGGCCCCCGCCGCCTTGGCGCCCTTGGCGGACGCGGAGGAGGCCGCGACGTCGCGCACCCGCTTCCTGCGCAGCAGCGACCGCCTGCGCCTCCGGAGGCGGCGGCCCACGGCGAGCGGCGCCCTGACGAGCGCCAGCCCCAGCAGGGAGACGACCGCGCACGGGCAGCACCCCAGCGCGACGCAGTCCGCGATCGCCGCCGCCGCGCACGACCGGCACCTCCACCCCGCCCGCCCCGCCACCGCCGCGGACGGCTGCTGCTCCCCGTCGAACCAGCGCCCGCGCCTCGGCACCGCCGCAGCCGACGCCACCACCGCCGCGCGCTGCTGCTGCTGCTGCTGATGCTCCTCCCCCCTCCCCCTGCCCATCATCGCACAGCAGCGCAGAGGCATGCGCGGCCGGCACACGCAGTGAGCGAGCGAGCGAGGTCGGCTCGGGAATTGAACCGAA